ATATATTATCTCAGTTTTTTTTACATGCCTGGAGTTGAGGGGTTCCTCTCCCTAAGCAGTCAAGTCCACCCTCTGCGATTTAGTGCCCTCACAGGGTTGATGAGCCTTTTCTTCATTTTATTATGGGGGTGTTGCAGTCAGGCTGTGGTCTTTACACTGAGTGGGGCACTGAAATTCCACAGACGGTTGGGGTTGAGACAGCGGAAGCACTGTACAAGTCCCTGAGAGTCTTTACTCACAGTTTGACTTCCACTGCTGATCCATTATTTAAGAAACACACAGGCGGTACGCATCGCAAAGCACACATACACGCAAAAAAATGCACAAAATGGTACAAAACCTGATATATACTGACATCTAAATGCAGCCAGCAAATAAAATATTACTATTTTGTAACTATCTTAATACAGTGTACTATTTGAAAATTCTTTTTTTTTTTGATGAGGTAGGAAATGCAGTTAAGTCTTTGCTAATAGGGAATTTTATCAGCCTCAGTGAACCTTTCCTTTCTATTAACACTCTCCTTCCACACAGGGGTTATCTGAAGTCCAAAGAGTAATAAAAAATTCAGGCAGCTCAAGCGCAAAGTAAGAACAAGCTACTTCCTACCATTCATTGTGACCAGGGATGTCATGCATCCACGGTTGAGGGTTTTCTCCCACAAAGCCTATGTCGTCGTGGGAGCTGGAGGATGACTGGTCAGACAGGTGAGCAGGAAGCAGGGGCGGCCTATCGTCTTCAATCATCACTATGTCATCTTGCGGCATGTTCACTGTCGGTGAGAGCTGGTAGTGACCTTAGAGACAGAGAGAGGATAAAAAAGTGCAGCTTGATTAGGTTTAATATAAACTTTCAAAACCACATCAATATTTAACTCAAGTGAATTAGAAATGCCTGATAAGAAATGTGGGTGAAAATACAGAAATAAACATATGTGATCTCGCTAGGTTCAAACACACTCCGTCAGACAACTTGTCATAAACAAAAGTAGCTGAATGTTTCTTGATCCAACCAGCTGACAAATAACTTAGCCAGGACTGAATAAATCATGTGACTGTGTTGTGAACATTTCATTTAAGGACATGTTTTAGATATAGAGCCTGTGCAGTGAAGTCATCAAGACTGTTTATTTCCAACATGATGAATAGCAATGTGCCACGTATTGCATACAGCTACTTGCATTTAACATAGAGTTAGTACACATCCAGTTGCTTGTTATAGATTCTATCCTCAAGTAAAGGCTAAGATGAAAGCCTGGGGTGAGAAATKGAGTTGAGGTTTGAGTTGGAATAAGAATCCCTGGCACCCTGCACCTCACATCAAACTTCATGTTGATTTTAGGACGGAGCTGGCCAGAAATTATGAGAAGCTAGGGTCTGATTCAGATGAGGCAATTTGTTGGTCAATGCGAACCTACCTAGAGGTAACACCAGAAACAGCAATGAGGGTCTCACATGAAAGTTGCTAGTAGTGCCTAACAACTCCTGTTGTGAGGGGCAAGTAGTTCCAGGGTAATCTAAATGTGAATCTAAGCACTAAAGAGACCTCTCATGTAGGTKTGTAAAGCTTGGYACTCCACACACTCKAGATATTTTGAATTCAGAAAACTTCTTGGACGGGAAGCGAAATGTCTTCCAGTTTAAGGTGTTAGAAACTTTTTTACTACAAAGGCCCCAATTACACAATGACAATTTTGTATGAAACAACAGTTTTTTGCTGGCCGATCGTATARGTGATGCCAGCTGTCGTTCTCTCTGTAACCATAGGTAGAGTGGCCATTTATCAGTAACACCCCCCGTGGAGATGAGAAGCACCCCACAGCTGTGAAAGCGTGCATGCCTAAACAGCCAGCAAAGGTTTCTTCTAAACTAACAATTACAATAAATTAAAGACGGCAGAGTATTTTTTTTCTGTTACTCGCCCTTTGCAGCTTGTAGAAGCAAAATACAACAAGCATCCTTAGTCCAAAGAAACATTAGTTTATTCACCAGGTTTGAACTTAACTGTAATCATGCACCAGTGAGACCGACTGGTACGTACTGCAGTGGTTCTATGTAAATGGGTGATTTTATTATTATATTTACCCCAAAACAGCATTTTCAGAGATTGTCTCGTGTAAACAGGGCCTAACACTTCCTAAGTCAAGTTTTAGATAAATGGTGATCATCACCTCGCTGACGAGCTTAACACCTTCAATTGTAGGTCTGAAAAGCCCAACCCCATACAACAATTCATCAGTATTACACACTCTCCTGACATTCAGCCACCCASCCAGACATCCATCCAGCCTGTCTTTAAGATCTGCGTGAAAGATGTGCAAAAACTTCCATAAACAAAAAGTGATGAAGGCACCAGGCCCATACGGAGTCTTACCCTCTTGCTTGAGGACCTCTGGACAACAGCTCACACCACTCTTTACTCACATCTTCAACACCTCACTGGAGCATTGTGTTGTACCCTCCTGCTTCAAATGCTCCACAATTGTACCCATCCCTTAAAAGTCAGCCATCACATAACTAAATGACTAAAGACCTGTTGCTTTCACCTTTAGTAGTCATGAAATGCTTTGAGAGACTGGTCCTCATTCACCTGAAGGTCATCTCAAACCCTTCTATTAGACCCACCGCAGTTTTCATACCGACCTAACAGATCCTCAGAGGTTGTAGTGAATACAGGACTCCATGTCATCGAACAACACCTCAAACATCAAAGAATATATGCAATGATCCTGTTCTTGGACTATAGCTCTGCCTTCAATAAACCAATGAGTGAATCTCCACTCTGTCAAAATCATAAAGTTTGCAGACGACACCACCATCATCGACCTCACTCATGACTGTGATGAGTCTGCTTACAGATGGGTGGTCAACCAGGTTGCCCACTGGAGCAATCTCAACAACCTTGAGCTGAACCCAGCTAAAACAGTAGAGATGATAGTGGATTTTAAAAGAAGAACCCCCCAACCCTGCCGCCACTCACCATCTCTAACAGATCAGTGATGGCCGTGGAGTCCTGTAAACCCATGGGCACAACAATCTCCAGGGACCTAAAGTGGTACAATATTATCAGCTCCATAACCAAACAAGTTCAGCAGAGGATGTATTTCCTGCATCAGATGAGAAAGTTCAACCAGCCCCAGGAGCTGATGCTGCAGTTCTGCATGGTTTTCATTGCGTCATCGCCACATCTATCACTGTGTGGGGCAGCTCAGCCACAAAGGAGGACATTCACAGACTGCAGCGCATCATCARATCTGCCGAGAAGGCCATTGGTGTTGAGCTGCCCACACTGTTGTACTAGCTAGCTGGAGAAAATTATTTCTGATTTGTCACACCATAGTCACTACAAATTATGGCATCTTCTTTCAGGCTGGTGTTTTAGCCAAATGAGGAACAGAGAAGCTTCTTCCAACATGCTGTTATGCTCCTGAACACCAGACATCACTATTACACTTTTACCTCATCTTCTGGTCTCTTCTTTCATGCCACTAGTGGTGCATATTTGTTGTTTTTTATGTGAACTGTGAACTACCTCAACCAAAAACACATTCCTTGTATGCGTAAGCAGACATTGCTAATAAAATTCCATTCTGATTCTGAAAAGAACTAAGGGACCATGGCTGCAAAAGTTAATTATTTAAAACTTTACTCTTCAGAATCCAATCTYTTTTTGTTACGGGCAAAACTTGCAAACACAGTTTCTTGTATTTTTCTTCATTCTGTTCCAAGGACAAATCTCTGTAGAAGGAGAGCTTTGCTGATCTGTATTCTGTCCCTTCCGACCCTCCCCACTGAGGACTTTCAGAATCGCTCTTTTGCTGCTCCTCAGGAGTCAAAGTCAATAGGGAATATGCTGGCACTCAGCACCAAGGACAGGAGAAGAGTTGCTCAGCAACATGAGAGAAGAATTACAATACAAATCTGGAATATTGTCTCAGTGTTTGACTTAAATACCAACAGYGACTGATTACAAATCAGCCCTAAAGTCAAGACACATTAGGAGATCTGAATTCAGCTGCACCTGCTTATCTTTAGGGGGGGAAAGGCTTTTAGAAACTTTGGAGACTTCCCGTGGTCTTTGCTTTTGTTTCCACTATCAGAGAGCCATTTTTTCCCAATTTAATAGCTTAGGAACAATTGCAGGTAATTACTAACAGCAGACAACAATATTTACCCTGGCGTGATTCCTACACAAATCCCAGCAATGTAATTTCACTGAGACCCTGTGCAAGATTAATGCACATTGTGGGAGTAAATCTGAGCACCAATCATCAACACAGAAATGAGGTCCATAGTTTTACTTAAGTATTTGCTAAGAAAATAATAAATAATAAGTATATTTATGCTTGTGTGTGGCAAAAAAAAATACAAAAGTCCTCTTTAAATAATTTGTCTTTAAGGATCTGAGAAGGCAGGATGTAACTAATGATGCTAACTAAACCTTGCATTACCACATGTTCAATAAAACCAACTTCAAACAGTGCTTAATAAAAAAAAAAACTGAACATTCAAATAGGCTATTTTAATCTGAACGATTATGTTAGCATTACATAACAATAAAACAAAAAAACATGTGGCTAAGCCATTAAATATGTACTTTTATACTGTTTTTATTTCTGTTAGTACTAGCATTTCTCTTTTTTTATTTTTTGAAAAACCAAAAATAGTTAAAAAAAATAATTTTAAATTTTAAAATAAAAAAATAAAAAAATAAATAAATAGAATAGAATAGAATAGAATAGAATAGAAATAATTCAACTTTATTTTCATTGC